GGTCCTAGTGTTACACCCGCTAAATACCGGTATTTTTGGAGTTGTTTTCAAATCAAATTACATCTGATCTATCCCTACATTTAAATCTATATATCTTTGCAATTTGAAAGAGAAATTTGCCACACAGTGTTTTATTTTTTCGATTATCTTCTGTTCTGTGGCTTAGCTGGAATTTTTAAATGTTGCGCAAAAACATAATTGCTTACGAAACCACACTATCTCTAGATTAATGTGATACAAATACAAATAAAAGATATAGGTAAGTTACTGTCCAACACAATAAAAAATTCTTAGTTTCATATTACGTGGAGATGTCCTCAATCGGTGTGAAAGTTGCCATGACACGGCAAGACTGAATGTCGAATGCGCAACTGCGTAGGTAGCCGATGTGATACGGCGTTCTGTGTGCGACGGTGCAACGGGTTTTAAGGTCACTTTGCTCTGATTTTAAATCAATAATGTAAGTTTATATAAAAAAAAACAACATGCATTAATGTGAAGTTACAAATGCATCATCTCTGTAATAGTATGACGTTGTTTTGCTCTTTTTGACTATCTTTTGTCATGTCCTATTAAAAATTCTTAAATTCGTAACAAAAAAAAAATTGGGTCACTTATGGGCAAAAAAAAACTATCCTATCTCTCAAGTTGGACCAAACTGCACACGGTGAGCAAATTTGATTAAAATCGGTTAAGTATTTTAGGAGTTCATTGCGGACAAACAACGTGACACGTAATTTATATATATTAAGATTTTAAGTAGGGGTTGTTTTTGTATTGTGCGACAATGATCCCTCGGTAGACATTCTATCAATAAATATTTTTGTGTTTACTTAAAAAAAAATGTGAGTATAATATATGAGAGCCGTGTTAGCTCAGATGGTTAACGCTCGCTGTAAATATAACAGAACGCGAAGAACCCGGGTTCGATCCCCGCCGGCACCAATGAAATTGTTAATTGCAATTTTAAGTGCTCATTTAGCACACGCTCGGCGGTGAAGGAAAACATCGTGAGGAAACCTGATTTCGAAGACATGTGAAGTTGGCGAACACCACAGAAATCTAAATAATAAGGTACCTTATTATTTAGATTTCTGTGACCAACACGCATTGGCGCAGCGCGACGGACACTTCCTTGCCCTAAAACCCTCTCAGAAACGAGGGGAGGCCAGTGCCCAGCAGTGGGACGTATATAGCAGGCTTTAACTTTTTTTAACTTTTATAATATATAAAATCATTTCAAACCTTGTACAAAGACATAATACTCAAACTAGGCTTTTGAAAATTCACAATAGGTACGCATTTATTTAATTATCGTAGGAGTAAAGTATTAATGGACTGATTTAATAACACCTCGGACAGTCAAAATGAAGCGTAAATGTTAAGAAACTCAAAAGTTAATAATTATTTACAACTTTGTAACGTTACAATGTAAAGATTGAGGCCTTAAATAAATTACCAGAGTTTGTTAACCTTCGTTGCAAAACTGCGTAGTTAATGTGAAATGTAAGCATTGTACTACGCCCTATCGATGGAAACATTTACCTACCACTTATTGATAAATGATAAACCAACAGTGAAACAACACAGATCTCCTAATTCATATTTATTAATGGTTTTAATTAAAGATTCACAATTCTCTATCGACTACAGTCTACTGCATTTACAATCAATATTGTAAATTAAAGTCGTGGTCGCAAAAACATAAGCATTTTAGAAATAGGGATGATTAACTCTCGCTAACACCGAACGTTAATAAAAATAGTCCAAAAATGTCAACCATGGTTTTAGCAGATATTCGTGTATGGTATGTTACATACGGTAATACATTATATTAGTGAAGAAACAAAGATTTCAACGTGTAGTGTCCATAACGTTTTACATGGAAGCTATAATGAAAAAAGTTAAGCTGGCTTTCCACTATGGGATATAATATATATTATATCCCGAAATATAAATTATATCCCGCGGAAATTGCGCTTTACACTGTGAGATATATCTTTTAACCAGTGTGTGTTCGTCATTAGACGAACAACGTAGCGGAGGCGCGGAAGGGTGTGCGGGGTACAGGAGGTGATATATAATATGAAAATATCGCTCGGTCGATCGAAAAAATATTTATAGTTCGGGATGTATATATTACATCTCAGTGGAAACGGTTCCATTTAAAAGTACGGTGAGCGATATTAATTTATATCTCGAGATGTAATATAAATTATATTATATCCCATAGTGGAAAGTCGGCTTTACTGCGGTTGAAACTCAGAAGAATGCTTACCGATGCGCAGAAACAAACCGGGCTAAATATTTCTCAAAGCTTTTCGGAAATGTTGCAACAAAATCCTGATCATAGTGCAACAGTTTTTTTTTTATAGGATACGGTGACAAACGAGCACACAGTCCACCTGATGGTAAGTGGTTGCTGTGGCCCATAGACATCTACATCTATCCTCGATTACGAATCAAAATGCATATGCGTTGTCACCCGTGAGGACTAAGATGGAATGCCTCGTTTCCAGTAAAAAGTGCTCCGGATATCTACACTCACCATACGAAACACACCAACATTAAGCTGCTATTTGACGCTGGTATTCTGTGAGAGCGTGGTCCTTCCCCGGTCAAGCCGACACATTCGTGCTACAACTACACTACTGCAGCATGGCTCTACCACGTATAAAGTTGACTCGATTTATAACAATGGACGAAGCGTGACTTCAATCACTTATTATTAAACGTTTAGTCGCATCAAAAATACGCCTGATAATTATTAAAACAGTAATTGAAGACTTCGACTGTGTAAAAATGTACCGAAAACAGGTAACTTCAAATATTATATACCCTATGTAACTTCCAAAACTAGGAAAATCTATGTGATACATGAAAAATCAATTAAGACGTTTAGGCTACTCAACGTGCAGCTGTAGAACGTGCTAAGGGAATAGGCATAAAAAAGTAAAGTTACAGCCTATATACTAGAGATGGGCCGAATATTCGTTTTATATTCGGTATTCGACATATTCGGCAGCTTTACCGAATATTCGTATTCGGTTAAATCACCGAATATTCGTTAAAGTGGTACTCCAAGTGCCCACTGTATTGAAATGTACGAATTGAGTAATGCCATGTCTTTAATAATTTTACTGTTGAAAGTATTATGGTAGTATAGTATATTTATGGGTAAAATCTACTTATATATCATTATGTTTTTGAGGCACTGTAGATTTATTTCCAAATATAGCAAATAGAAAGCTTGATAATTTTTTTTTGGAATCATACAAAAAACATTACTTTACATTTGTACATTTCACTTTATTTGGAGCGTTAGTTTCTCTAAAATAAGTCCTAATAGTAGATCTCCTGCCACTCATTTTTATCATATAATTATCAATTTTCACTAAGAATAACAAACAAAATACCTTTTTTTGACAAAAATAGTCAAAAAATAAGCATGTGCCGGCGAATTGTTCAGTACTAGATGATGCAATAACATGTCATATTGCGGAGTTAGGGGAAGGGCTAGACTGTGCGCTGTATGGTAATAAGTTTCGACATAAATTGGCTAGGTACCGAGATGATCTTGCCGAATAATGTTCGGCCGAATATTCGTATTCGGTGAAATCCATATTCGGTCCATCTCTACTATATACGTCCCACAACTGGGCACAGGCCTCTGAGAGGGGCCAGGATTTCTGAGAGGGTTTTAGGACAAGAAAGTGTCCGCCGCGCAGCCCCAATGCGTGTTGGCGAACTTCACATGTCTTCGAAATATTTTTTTTCTTATTCCTCAGACATGCAGGTTTCCTCACGATGTTTTCCTTCACCGCCTAGCACGTGGTAAATCAGCACTTAAAATTGCAATTAACAATTTCATTGGTGCCGGCGGGGTTCGAACCCGGGTTACTCGCGTTCTGTTATATTTACAGCGAGCGTTAACCATCTGAGCTATCACGGCTCTGGAATAGGCATATTCATACATAAATACAAACATATACTTCTCGAAAAACCACTCCTTAAATATAATTAGAAGAAAATAATTAAGGCAGAGATAGGCAGCATTTTCACCATTTATTTCATTTTTCTCATTTCTAGTTCAAATTGTTTCGTCAAAAGCGTTATAGGTCTAAAACGGACTGATGAATTATGATAGCAACAGATTTTATTTGTCTTGGTTTAAAAAATGAAATCCCGTATTTTTATTATTGAGACCGATAAAAAGTTGCCAACCTTACGTTTGTGATGTTCCTCGGGTAAGGCCTATGTTCAGCAGTGGACATGATGGGCTGTAATTATGATGATAGTGATAATGAAGCATATTGGAAAAGATATTTCAAATTATTAAGATAATAATATGAAAGACAATTTTTTTTCATTGATTTTTTTTTACATAACTGTATAATTTTTTTTACTGTTTAATATTTGTATTTTTATTTTTCTTTTAGTTAGTTTAGTTCTATTTATTTGAATATTATTAGTGTAAGATTCAGTTTATAATTAAAAAGAGGACTCTATCGCATTGGGTTCGACCTGTAAGGATAGATGTCTCAAGAAAAAAATATACAATGCCGATAGTGTAAACAACAAAATACACTAGGGCAAAGATAAAACCTTTGATATAATTTGTAAGGATAACATTCCAAGTACAGCGTCTATAACGACAGAAATCAAAACAATATATGCATTAGCAACAACATAAAGTGCAGCAACAATGTAGTTTGTGTTATTGCGAGCGAATATCAATATTACAAATACGCAATTACTGTTTCTCAGTTAGCAACAAACGACCGGTGATACGGATTACGGAGACCAACCGAACTGCGCGTCAAATGATGCTCATTGCGTACGACGTAGTAACTAGTAACTGTCATTTTGTAACCTAAAATAAAAATCGCTCAATGCTATTTATCTCTGTAAACACCCGTTTTACATATACCGGTTTCTTCACTACCCTATTATTAAACACGTTTTATAAAACATTCAAATGAGAAATTAATTTTACTCACGATTTGACAGGACAATCACGGTGTGTCCGCCTATGCGACTGCCTCAACACAAACTGGCAGGCGATGCGATGGCGCTCTCTCTGCGCAGAGCTAACGAGCTAACGACCGCACGTCTTGTCTTTTTTTTTTCAAATACAAAACTTTTTCGAGCGTCAATGGCGTAGAGAATCAAAATGCTTTATTCTTCGCGCAATGAACAACCATACGTACACCACAAACACACCGTATATGTGTTGTGTGTCGCAACAGTTTATTGTGCTCCTCCCCACCTTGGATGAAGTGACCTTATCGTTTAACTGCACTCAGTAACAGTGTATACTTACGGCCATTTTCAATGTATGTCGCGGGAATGAATAGCAAGTAAGTATTTCTCTAAAACTTTCCAATATTCTCAATTAATACGCAACAAACTTTTCCTTAATTTAAAATGTATCATACACACTTGCTCATCAGATATTGCCAGGTTATATTGAATGAATTCTAGAAACATTTTACGAGCATTATAAGGCTGGATTAAACTGTGGTGTTTTTGTTAGTGCTGGTGCATTTCTTATAAAATTTTCCACAAATTGAAGCCAGAATTCTCCTCCAATTCCAGCCCCTGAAAAAGAGAATCTATCTCGTCTAGATTTGTTAGTATTATTTAATCTAAAAAAAATTAAGGGCCTTCCTTAGCTCCAACGTCTTTGAGAGCATCAAATTTCTACTTACATTACTTATATTACAAAAATATATATATTCTTTTCTTTATTAACTTCTGCACAGCTAACATAAACGACAATGTACTCATTGAAAATGTATCGAATATATTATCAGTAAACAATGCAAAATAAAATCTATAGCATCTTCTTTTCTCTTTCATCTTCTAGTTTTCTTTTGTCAAAGTAAGGAGCGTATGAACATGCGTTAACCATAAAAAATGGACTGTAAGTGACAGGATATTTCAATTATGATAACTTGATTTTATAGAGAAGCACTCACTTTGAATAACAAACGTTAGTTCAAAAACTAACGGAATTCCTCGCATTTGAATATGATACGAATATTATTAATGGGAGAGATTTAACAAGTTTATAAAACTGGGTATTGAACCGCCAAACAGTTGTAAAAAGGAAAAAAATTACACTCTTTGAAAAGTTTATTCTGAATATATTTATTTATTTTTATTCTTTATTGCATCCACAAAAGAATACAAAGGGCGGACTTAATGCCTTGAGGCATTCTCTACCAGTCAACCCATGGAGTGGTGAGAATTTGATGTAGGTGTGGCAATAAGAGAACACTATACAAACGATAATTAACTACATAATATATACAAACTACTAATAAATAAACTATACATATATGAATATAATATGAAATAAGAAATGAATACAAATATATTTAGACATGTGGTGGCGACGTAAGAAATAGAAAATCCATCACTCTATATGGTCCCGTGGGTGAAGCAGGAGGCAACTATCAGCATGGCTTTCGATAGACAGCGGTATACTATCTCGTATATGCAAGATGAAAAACACACAGACCGGTGTCGCGAAGGAAGAGCGTCAAAGGTTCGTAACATCTGGAACTGCGATCGTCATCCGCTTGCTATGCGTGGCAATTAAATAAAATCCAGAAAGGACAAGAAAGGGCAGAAAGGCCCATGATCAGTGGTGATCGGTTCCGACATCATCTGTTCTGACAAAGAAAATAAACAAGACAATACAAAAGTAATACAAATTTCATGTTTCAAATTTTTCCAAGGAAATTTCTATGTGTTATATTCGCAACAGGTTATCCATTTTTTGTAAGTACAAGATTAAGAAGTAACAACAAATTTTAGTAAACCTAAATAAATAAAATTGTATATATACCACATAATTTTTTTACGTGGTAGAGCCATGCTGCAGTTATATTAGTAGTATAGCATAAATGGGTCGGGTCGGCCCGGGAAGGACCACGCTATCACACAATATCAGCGTCAAATAGTAGCTTAATGCTGCTGCGTTTCGTGTGGTGAGTGTAGAGAACCGGAGACCGTTTTACAGGAAACGAGACATTCCAAGTCTTCACGGGTGACAACGCATCTGCATTTTGATTCGTAATGGAGGATAGATGTAGATGTCTATGGGCCACAGCAGCCACTTACCATCAGGTGGACTGTGTGCTCGTTTGTCACCCCATCCTATAAAAAACCTACTTGAGAACCTATGATATTGATTAAAATAATGAGAGTGGTACAAAATCTGGGAAATTCAATATTCTAATTATTTAATATTTATACGAATACTACACATTGAATACACCACATTGAATAAAACTAATTTTATGGTCAAAGGTCATATAGGTCAAACAATGTTAAAAATCTAGAAAATTACTCGATTTACACAAAATAATAAAAATTTATCAGTACCTAGTAACTGATTTACCAAAAAAATTTTTTTTTGTATTTTATCATCATATATAGTTATGCACATATTAATTATCTCGTACAGATAATATTTGCATAATTATAAGCAATTCATCTTAGATAATCATAATTTCTTAAATTATACTAATTTATTTACAAAATAAGACAAAAAGATGCAAATCTTGAAATTCATTTATGTATTTTGAAATGCCAGTGGTCAACTTTGGTCTGTAATTAATATAAATTAGAAACACATTCAACAATAAGAAATTTGATTTTGATATTTGAACGATAAATTTTGCTTACTATTTTCGAAATTCTAATAACATACTTTCAAAGGAAAGTACCTTTTAGAGTAGACTTTTCTGTTAAGTTGTTAAACTAACGAGAAAAAAATACAATCACTATTGGGAATATTATTTAATACTGGATTGCTTAATTTTTAAGAAAGCAAAGTAAAAAATCAGTCTTAAAACTAATTTAAGATAACCCTTGACTTTTTGAGGCAGAGGAAATAAAATATTAATCTTTATATATAAAAACTACGTGTCACGTTGTTTGTCCGCGATGAACTCCTAAACTGTGTGAAGTTTTTCCAACTTGAGAGATAGGGTGGTTTTTGAACCGATAAGTAAAACCCTTAATTTTATTATTGCGCATTTAAGGATTTTTTCAGGAAAGTCGTCAGAAAGGGCAGAACAACGTCTGCCTGGCCGCTGGCAGAATGTTAAAGTATTATTACGTTAGCCTGTGGAAATCCATTATGAAGTGCGGAATAATTAATTTACTAAGAACTAAATGCATTTACAGTATTCAGAAAAATAAAAAGATATGACCTAATTTTCAAATCACGAGCTAGGAGGGTTCCTACAATCGGGTGCACTGCAACCATTGAAATGAATATTGAACATCAACACTATTATCAACCCAACACTGGAAAATGCGCAGCAAACAAAACATCATCAAGATAAGTGTAGTCTGTGCGATGAGTAAAAAAAATATGACAATTAGCTTACATTGAAACTATATTTTCGAGGAATGTTGGATACCACGAAAACATGACAGACTATGTGAATAATAAGGTGAAATAGCATAGACTGCATGAGACAATAGATGCCAAGGCACAACATGTACCTGCAATCTCCACCATTAACTAGAGTGAACGTGTGCGTGCAGACACCAGCAAGGCCTCTTCTTAATTTTATAGACAGTTTGACACACTGCTATCTCCAGTAGAGTAGATTTTATTAATTGGAAAATGTAGACAAACGACCACACAGTCCACCTGATGGCAGATGGATGCTGTGGCTCATAGACATATACATCTATCCGCATTTATTGGAAAACAAAATTAAATGAAATCAAATTGCAGATGTCACCCCTGAGCACTAAGATGGATGTCTTGTTTCTAGTAAAAAGGATCTCCGGTTTTCAACACTCACCATACGAAACAAAGCAGCAATAAGCTGTTATTTCACGCTGGTGTTCTATGAGAGCGTGGTCCTTCCTCGGTCGAGCCGATACATTCGTGCAACTACTAAAATATAGCGGCAGCATCGCTCTATTAGGTCTACATGGTGACTTTGAAAAATAAATATTATAGGCCCCAAAAAGGATCCTTGTGGTAGCAGTGAAGGTTTTTCTTTATTCACTGCCGACTATAAACCTATTTAGTAATGCGCAAAATGGCATACATAACTTGTGAGATATGGGCTTACTCATCAATCATCACAATAGGCAGTTAGGTGGCTAGTGGCTACGCGCAATGTTCCAATTGTTTTTATGTAAATTTATATCTTTTTTTTTTGTTGCTATCCTCAAATTACTCTATGAATATAGGTTATGTACGCCTTAATAAGTCTTCCAAGGGAAATTTTACTAAAAAATCAAAACTTTTACTTGAGTCGTATAAAGTACTTATTAATATTATGTATTACAACAGAATATAAAAATCTTCCTTAACTTAATTTTGATTGTTTTAACACTGGATGCTTAGAGAGACAGCATGGTCCGCACGGTGGCACCAAAGTTTACAAATTCTTTTAGGACCATACAGTGCCTAAAAGAACTACCGCAAAGTGTTCAAAATTCTAATGTCGGTACTGTTTTCGTCAATACTCTAGCAATAAAACGCCCTAAATTAATATTTTAAGGGCACGTTCCGCCATATAATGTACAAATACAGCAGCAGTGCAAAATTATTCAACTAGAAATCATTAACAATTCTCAAACTTTAAATGCCTAAAAAGTTAAAATTACCGTAACGAAGATAAATAAATTAAATGCTCCAATCTCGATTCCACATATCATGAAGTGCTGCGTAGTTAAAACCGATACACTCAACTGCGCAGCTGCTGTCCTAGGTCAAAACAGTTTACGACGTAAAAGAACAAACCAAGGTGAAACACGTCTCACGCCGTCGTGTGGCAATTTGAATGCAATTTAAAACGTAAAATACTACTTTAATTTGAAATTAATTATTTTTTTTTAAATACGCGAACACGTTACTATCCAGCCAGAAGTACTCTCTGTAATCATCGATCTTAGATAAACCGAAATGTTGGAAATTTATAAAAACCACAATTATACTATGCTTAAACAATTAATAATAGTGCTTTTCCAA